ATTAGTAACAAGGCACCTTACGACTAGGAACAAGAAGCTATTAGTAACTGGGTGCCTTTCTACTAGCAAATCATGCCTAGTAAGGGCCTCACATGGTTCCACCTGGTGTCCGGGCCACTCGCCGTCGGGGCAGTTGCTCTTGTTGTTCACCTGGAAGCTGCAGACGGAACGACGAATGGAGAGCAAGCATGTCGGTACGTCACACAACGGACACAGTTCGGGCATGCTTTTGGGAGCATACCAGTTCGGGTCCAACTACGTCGTACCACGTGTCGTACTACTTCGCCACTACGTACTACATGCTCCTGGAGTCAGCGTACGTTCTTCAGCTTCATCATCTCCGATCAATACTTCTGCTTCTTCAGGCAATGAATAAACCTCGCGCTGAAACACAAAGAATTTTCTGGCGATTTGGAATCACTCTTTTCAAAACGATTCATTCTCACAGCTGGCGTCATCCTGTGCTATACGATACATTTCAAAACACATGTAAACTGCACCTCTCAAGCCGTCACACACATCTTCAAACACCCCGTGTTTCCTCTTGTGTTTTGAAAAGCGCAGCGCAAGGCCCGTTTGAGAAATTGAGGCCCAAAGTGCCCCGATTTGTGCGTGATGGAAGTGAAATGATTGGTATCTGAAGCGCTTTTTCGCTTTCAGACGACCGCTCGATTCAGACGACGATTCCGTAACTCGGTGTCAGAAATCGTCCGTTCCTTGAGCGCCGTTGTCAGAAATGTTTACTGCGTGGCTTTGACGAAACTTGCCAAGTGTTTTTTCAAACAGACACTTGTTTTGCTCCGTTTGTTCTTTTTTTCCGCCTTTCCTCAACGCTTCGTTTCTTTCAATACGTGTGGAAACTTGAACTCTTTGTCGGGAAAACATCCTGATGAAATCGGGGCCTAACAAAACCAGACGACATTGCAAATGTTCTGATGCGTCTGCTTGAGCATCGCTGACACATGCTCTGACATAGGTGGCATGGCATGGAACTTGCAAATGTTCGGACACTTGTCTGGCTGAAAACTGCCCTGGCATCACGTGGTCTGACATGTGCTCTCGCACCTGTTCTGACAATCAGTCAAATATCCGGGCATCATGGCTGACATGTGTTCCCATATCAACATGTATTCTGACATATTTTCTAACATGCGTCAAACCTAGCATGTGTTCGTTGTTCTGACATGTATGCTGACATCTAATTACTCTGACAACTATTCTGTCATCAAGTCTGGCATGTGTTCTCACGTTGACTGGCGCATGTCGCATTTCTTCCATCCTGTGAAGTCACGACTTGGGAGACGTATGTCGACACAGTGCGAAGGTAGGCGAAGAAAGCGGAAGATTTGAAGAAACGGACAAATGGAACATGTTTCATGGCCGGTCGATTCTTCAACGATCTTCTTACGTTTTACGGAAGCGCATTTTGGACTTATTGCCTTTACTTACAAACGAATTTGATATTGATTGTCAAAATCATCTCTTGGTTCTTGGTTCTGTTGCTTTTGGTTTCTTTCCCCAAGGGCCAGGAAGTGAAGCCGAAGGCATTCCCGACAGAAACCGCCGCGCGACACAAAAAAAGGCTTTGCCTTGGGCTCCTTCCACGTGGCACTTTCGGAGTCCCAGGCCCATCCACGACTTGCCTTTAGCAACCCATTCTGAACTCGCGGCATGTAAGAACGAACATTGCAGTTTCAACTAATTCCCCTCCACATATTCTGATCATCCGTTTCCTTCAGCTGCGGGGCTTCCTGCTTCCCAAAGCCTGAGTGCCTCACCATGCAAATTGCTCTGGGCGTCGCTGCCACTCCACGCCTAACCGCGCTGTGCAGCAGTGTGTGTGTGTGTCTACACCTGTGCCTAAGGTTTTGAATCACAAAGAACGCTACTAGGGCCCCTGGTTTTGCTACTAAGGGCTCCTGGTATCGCTACTAACATATAGTTTCTCAGCGCGGAAAAAGAGGCAGGGGGATGCCGGCGATTTCCATGGTCGGCATCCAACGAAGACACCACGGATTTCCTGTGACATGAGTCAAGGACTTCGTACTGGCACTAGCTCTTGCGAGCAACAATCTAAGTGTGTTTTCGCCACAGGGTCCCACTGAGGGCTGTGGTGTGATCCCCGTCGAGGGGCGCTGCATGTGCATTGATACGGTGCCGCAGGGCTTACTGAAATTTTGCCGCAGGGCTTACTGAGACTTGAACCGATTCGGATTTGCTCTCATGCCCGTCTAACTAACCACAGGCGGGGCTTAGGACGCGGGCATGTCAAACCACCGACTGCTTTTGTTGCATGTGCTTTTCATGCTCTTCGGTTCTTTTTCTCTTTTTGTTGCTTTTCGTTTTCTTGAAGCCTTTCTTTAGGTTCCAGGTGTCTTTCAGACAATGGGTTGCGCCGGCCCAAATCGGCTTTACTTGAATGCCAATGATAGCAAGGCCTATGGGCCACCCTAACCCACCCTCCTCCCTAGCTCCCTGCCCCTCGCCTCCGTTGCTATCCCACCCGCTATTCGGGCAACAGAAGGAAACCGCACTCAACACACTTGTGTGTTGGTGCCTTTCCTTCTGTTTCTCCTTTCCTATTGCTAGCTACCCCGGCGGTTTAAGACAAAATGTCCCGCTCGCGTTCTACTTTCATTTATTTAACTAAGTGGGCCTCGTAACTACACCTATCTTTCTTTCTTGCCCTCTTAGTCTGCTGTTGTTTTGTTTGTTTCTAAGGCTTTTTAGGTGGCTAGTACTTTTCAAAAAGCGCCAATATTGGCGCTATGGGTACGCGACACAAACGACGCTACTAGGGGCTTCTGGCCTCGCTACCAGGAGCCAGGACGTACTCCTAGGGGCCTCTGACCTTTCTACGGGGTGTAAGGACGCTACTAGCGACTCCTGGCCACGCTACTAAACTGCAAGCAAGGGACAGCGCGTACTCGACGGCTTCGTGTCCACACCTGTGCCTAAGGTTTTGAGTCACAAAGAACGCTACTAGGGCCCCTGGTTTTGCTACTAAGGGCTCCTGGTATCGCTACCAACATATAGTTTCTCAGCGCGGAAAAAAGAGGCAGGGGGATGCCGGGGATTTCCATGGTCGGCATCCAACGAAGACACCATGGATTTCCTGTGACATGAGTCAGGGACGCCTGGCTCACGTACCTGCTAATTTTTAAGTCCAAGGCAGCGTTCAGCAGTAGGCAAGCCAGGACAAATTGTTAAACATCTTCAACTCGGCGGACCTCTTCACCTGTCCGTTCGGCATTTTGCAGTTACATCAAGTCAAGTGCTAATGCGTGTAAAGTGGGACTTCGTACTGGCACTAGCTCTTGCGAGCAACAATCTAAGTGTGTGTGTTTGTGTGCGCCATTCGGAAGAGTTGGGTATGCCCTTGCTGTCCGCTGCGACTTACGCACTGCACATAAGGAGAACACTGTGACGGCGTCAAGCGTCGCACTTCAACGGAGAAACCATCAAACGCAACACAGAAAGCAGGGAGAAGAGTGAAGTAGAGACAAAACAGAAAGATGAGAACCTGTGTGTTGAATGCTGTGGGAAGAAAAACACTACATTTCCTACATCGCAACCTAGAGGCGGTGAACTCCAAAGGCCAACCACTGCTTCCATTCCGATATCAAAGCCACACAACGCGCGCACTTTTCCAGGTGAGCTGCATTGGGCTCACTGCAAAAAACCAGTCGCTATGCAAACGCAACTTAACCAGCAATGCTAGCGCCGCAAATTCTGAAAACCGCATGTAACATTCTGAGTTGGTAATTATTTTGTAGTGCTGATAAGCTGTCTCAAAGAGCTGACGCAGTGGGACAGCTCCGTGCATTGGAACGCAATGCGCGCAAACCACCACTTGTGAATTTCATGGTTCTTCCCGCGGAGATCTTTACGAGGCCCACAACACTTCCGAGTTTCGAAGGCCGATGCTTGCATTGCTTTTGTCTTGCTTCAATCCCCGTTCACTGTTTACACATGTCTCAAATCATGCTCGAAGACCGTTCTCTGTATGTTCCGCGTTGCTGCATATCAGTTGTCATCCCTTGATGCTCGAAAACCACACTGTGCTCTTATAGAAAAGGGCCAGTTTTTTAAATCATCAGCAAAGTCTCAAGGCTGCAGGCGTTTGCAGGTCAGTCGCTCGAAGTCGCCGAGCCCATTGGCACGCTCATGCGAAAGCGCAAAATTGCTCTTCGTGAAGGCGCTAGCCAACCAGCTCAACCATGAACGCACGCGCCCACCCTGATCTTGAGAGTGAACGCGCGCGTTGAAATCAACAAGCGCTCACTCGAGTGCCCGCGCCGACGCGCCAACATCGAAGGACTTCTCCTTGGCGCAACGGTGTCCGCACATTGAACTGAAGCAGCCACTGTTCGATCGGCGCCAGCATATATCTGACCTCCTCGCGATATTTCGCCAAAGCCCTCCAACTGAACTGAACTTCTTCTGGCTTGACAGAGGCATATACAGGCCGTTGCAATCTGCCGCCACCCCGCAACCTCCCACGAGAGCCAATTTCACTTTTTGCGAGCTACTCTAGTCGTGATGTTGGGAACCTCCAGCTGGCGCGTCAAAACTTCTTCTAGCCATGACGACGAAGCCACCTTGAAAAGGTTTGAGGACACTTCCTGAAGGTCAAGCCACGCCAACACTACAAAACCTATGATCCACGACTCAACCAGTGTGAAGACCACTGCCACTTCACCTCAGTGCCTGTGTGGCTTTGCAGGTCACCAGACAGCTCAGTGTCCAAAGAGATCTTCCGATGAGGCGGAACATCAAGAAGCAGCTCTTCAGAGCATGATGGAGCAACCCACATTGTCTCTGCAGGCCTCACATCAAAGGCGGCCATGGGACAAGGGAAGGCCATCTTGATGAAGGCGTCACGAAAACGTTGGGCTCAGTCGTGGGAATCGAACTTTGTGAAGTCATATGGCAAAAGGGTAGGAATGTAGAACTGACCCGCTTGTGAACTTCAAGGTGTGTATTTGCAGGCGCAGTTCACGCGAACCTCTGCGTGAGGGTTTGGCCGCAGACGCGAATCGTCGGACGACATGAGTCCAAAGGAGATCCGACACAGGCGTTCCTCCCCAACGCCCCACAAGAAGCCCAACAGGAACCTGGCGCGCTTGATCCTATCCCTGCCAGATTCACCACTGTTAGTGGATGTTGGGCGTTGGCAACATCCGGTCGTGAACCATGAGGGCGCTTGTCTCCGAGTTGCTCGCGTTGCGGCCCAAAGGAAAGCGTCAGCTGGTCCTTTCATTGTTCAGACAATACTTTGATCTGCCCGACATTTTGAGACTGGACCCAGATCGAGCTTTCCGGAGAACCGAGCTCTCTTCATTTTGTCACAAGCGCCATATTCTGTTTGATTTTTCATTCCTTCTGAAGCCGACTGGAAGTTGAGCGCAGTAGAGCGATCCATTCAATCGATCATCCCGTATCCTGGAGTGTATCGTTTCAGCGGAACAACGTCCCACTCTAAAGAGGTCATTCAGTGAACCTCTAAGTTCCATCCGCGTCTCAGCGTAAAGGGACCAACTGTGAGGCCAACAAGATCGGCGGATGTCTTGTAACTGACAATCGCAACGTTTACAAGTTGTCCACTGAGGTTAGGGAGCAGAGAAAAGGACCAATGTCACAGTCACAGTCATGCGCATTGAGGAAGCTCAGATCCTCAGCAAGGTCATTGTCCGATGGGTCCATAGCGAAGCTCAACTATTCTCGGTTGGTTGCTTTTTTGCACGTTTTCGGCCTATGTGTGGACTTTCACCGCGTACAGGGGTGGCGTGCAAGAGCGAAAGGGCTCAACCATCGGTGGGCGCATGAAGCTTTTAGGATCGAGAGGCCCATAGAAAAGCGGAACCTTTGCATCGCGCAACGCATCTTCGGTCGTTGAACTCCCTACTGGCTTGAGAGAAGGGGCTACATATATATATATATGTATATATGCTAGCCCGCCCTCCGCGGATGATGATCAGTATCCGGCGCCCTTGCCCCAATTGAAGGAGGAACACAAGCAGCAGGTCGTTCAAGTTTGGCTGGTTCTGGAGGCTGCTGATGAACTGGTCCCGGACATTCTTGAAGCCTGGCAACCAGTCCTGAAGAAATCCCGGGGTCACTTTGAGACGCTCCATCTTCTCTTCGGCAATGTCACACAATTCGGTCACAAAGTTCAGGACTGGATTTGGACCAAGCCAAATCACCTTTTTTGTTCTTGCAAGAAACCCACATGCTGGTCAAGGCCATGGAGATTGCCCTTCAGTACTTCAACACTCGGGGCTGGCGTGCCTATGGGGTAGAAGCCTGTCCTACTGGCAACGGTGGCACTACAGGTGGTTTCCTTACCTTGCATGGACAAAGGCACTTAACGCAGACCTACACGCAAGAGGGCAATGGGTGGACTGCCATCGGACTCCAACGAGCGGACACGCTCATCCTCCTCATCCAGGTCTACCTAGGACGGGTGAAACTCTTCAGTCTCCCCAAAATGCTGACCTCCTCTCCAAGCTGCTGACCCTTTGGGATCACGCCCACGCGCCCTTCATCATTGGGGGAGACTGGCAAAACTCACCAGATGCCCTGGCAGCCACGGTCATCATGAGCAAGTTCCAATGCCAGATTGTGGACAGTGAAAACCCACCACACTTCAAGGGTCTCAACTCGATTATTTGCTGGTCAGTTGCCCTGGCAGTCACTCTTTCGTGCGACATGCCCGACGTAGAGGTCCAACAACTCCACGATTTCCACCCATTGGCAAAGTTCATGCTTTACCACAGTGTTGGAGCACCTTCCATGAAGCTGATGGGCCCTTTTCCATTGCAGGCATTCAGATCATTGGCCTGGGCTCCGATCTGGCCAGATGGGCCAGTCAAACAGAGCAGTACCTCACCCACCAACTGCACAAGCCCACAACAGGGCGGGGCCACCACATCCAGTTGAGGAAAGCCCCACTGGTCGACCACATCAGACCACAGGTATGGAAGAAAGGACAGCTAGCCTACTGGGAAAGGATGGCAGTGCGGGTCAACATCCTCCACCAAACCTCTCGCAGAAAAGTCGCCAACGAACTGGAGAACATGTTGCCCACTTTGCATTCCAATGCCACTGAAGACATGGAGCAGGACCTCTTCTCCACCCTCCTCCGCACGTGGATCAAGGAACCTCACAATGATCCCACGGAGTTGAAAGGCTACATCCAACATCAGGAACTTCAAGCACACCAAGCCCTTCTCAGTTCAGACAGTGTTGAGTTCAAAGCCTGGTTAGAAAAGGCTCACGCTCAAGGTTTGCGCGGCCTCTTCAGAAATCTGAGGCAGAGGGACATTCCCTGGCAGCGGCCCTTCCAGGATCTTCCGGCTCTTGAACGTCTTCGTGCTCGTGAAGATCAATGGACCAGAGATTTGGTGGGTCTCTGAAGGACCTTGTCACATCAGGCTCTCAAGGCTGCGGCAGTACACCGTGCGCCGCCCATCGACTCCAGTGTACTCCAAAAGGTCTTGCGCAAGTTGCCCAACAAAGCGGCAGGGCCAGATGGCATTTCCTATGACTTCCTTCGACATCTACCTTATCCAGCGGTCAACAAACTGGCGCAACTTCTCACTGAAATGGAGTCCACTGCCAGGTTGCCCACCCAGCTGACGCTTACCAACATCGTCATGATCCCGAAGAACAGCAGAGTGGAAAGACCAATTGCCTTGACATCATGTCTGTACCGGGTGTGGAATTGATACCGCAAACAGGACTTACATCGGTGGCAACTCACTCTGGATGAAGAACTTCCATGGGACAAAGCGAGACCCCAACAGAACGGCCTGTCCATTGCAATTGGCCGCGTGCTCAAAGCCGAAATCTCCAAGCACCCAGGAATCCACACCGTGTCCTGCTTGGCAGATCTGTCGTGCTTCTATGACCAAATGATTGAACCGGCCAGAGTCCTGCAATATCCGGTTCTCCATCTCAAATTGGCTCTTGACCTTTACACAGGTCCCAGGATGATTCAAGCTGAAGGCATCAGTGGAGAGCCGAAGCACTACCAGAGAGGCATCTTGCAGGGATGTCCGCAGGCACCAGCGATCTCCAAACTCATCCTCTACAGACTGCTCAAACAATTGGTCCAAACTCATCCTGCAGTCTCCTTACAGACATGGGTAGATGACGTCTCCTACGGCATCCAAGGAAGAGACCCAGCCTATGTGGCCAGAGAGGCTCTGCTGGCCTTTAGAACGCTGAAAGCCGAACTTGAAGCAGCTGGTCTTTGCATCAACACGGACAAAACTGGCTTCATCACCAGCACCAAAGAAGTCAGCAAAGAGCTAAAGCTGTTGTCGACACCAGAAGATCCCGAGCACTACGACGTCCTCAGAGATTTAGGAGTCGACGCAACAGCCACAAGACGTCGAAGGGTCATGCAGGTCAAGAAAAGGTTCTCCAAGGGCAGCGCCAGAACAGGGATCATGCATCGTCTTCGGTTGGCTCCGACCACCAAGTATCGATTGCACAGAGGAGCCATCCATCCTGTCATGACGTGGGGAGCACAGGCCAACGGATTGCCTCCACAAAGACGACAAAAGCTCCGAGTACTCGCTGCTTCGTCTCCAGGAGATGTGGATCAGTTGATGTTGTGTTCGACCTCCATCCAAAGCTTCCGGATTCAGCGGACTCCATCATTTGCCAGCACATCCACACTGTCTGGAAGTTGTACCATGCCTTCCCAGAGGGCACACAGCATCTTTTCTGGACCAGCGGGAACTGCTCTTGGAGCCCTCCTCAAAGTCCGTTACCGATGGCAAGTGGTGTCAGGGCCCTTGCAAGCTCTGCAGGCGTACCTTTTGGACTACGACTTCGACATCTCCAATGGCAAGCAGTGGACCCGCGCTGGCTATACGGAGGCATCCCTGACTGCAATCTTTCCCTTGAAGATTGCTGGCCAGTCCTGCTTCAAAAGTTGAATGAATTCTGTTGAGATTGACCAGGTATGAAGGTTGCCACGACCTCAAAAGGCAATTGGATTGGACTGTCAGTTGGAAGCTTCAGAAGAACACCAGTGACAAGACAGCCACGGCACTACGCACCTTCCACCAAGGCACGCTTCATGGCCAGCAAGGAAAGTGTCCTTTGTGTGACAAGGAACTCACCTTCATCCACCTGATCTGGGAGTGCCAATACTGGAAGGGCAGCGCCAAAGATCTTCCCACACAGTGGCAGGAACGCCTGGCACATGGCACAGAGCCCGAGCTTTGGAATCGAGGCATGGTGCAGTCCATCTTCTGCCAGTTGAGACTGGCATAGGCTCCTTCGAAGGAAAGGACACTGGCACACCCAGGAGACGCTCTCCTTTGGTCCAGGGCATGCCTTTTCCATTGCCTTGGCACCGACGTGCAACGATGCTCGTCACAGAAGGTTCGATCGTGCAATGATCTCCTCACTCGCGGGGATCTGCCCTGGGAAGGCCACCAAACACAGAGGCCTTTTCTATGCTCTCAAGCATTTGGCTCTCCATGTATCTGAGAAGATCCAAGTGGCCATCTACGATCACCAGGTCTGGAAGAACTGGACACCCTACAGAGCCTACGAGAACTATCCTGACTTGTTTCAGGGGCTGGAGTTTGAAGACTTCGACATGATCAGGCCGTTGCTCTTCTCTCAGAAAGAGCTCAAGCACAACCCACTCCGCTGTTTCCTGCAAAAGGAGACTCTCAAGGTGGCCAAGCAGGCGGCGGAAGCCCACAAGCCCACAGCCATCCTGGATTTGCAGGCCAACATCGACGAAGATGCCGAGGCCATCCTTTTGGCAGGAGCGGAGAGGATTGAAGTCCTCCTCAAAGACAAGAACCACTACTTCCACAAAGATGGTGATTTCCGAGCCAGCAAAGTGCCTCTCATTCAACAGAAGAGGGAATTGGCTGGCTCAGCCTCACTTAAATGGCCACAGCTGGGCTCCCTTTCGTACTGGAGTGGCCTGCAAGCTTTGCAAACAGCGGCTTCACACCAAGAGCCCAGTTCAGGACTTGAGGGACGCTCTTTCAGCCGATTGCCCTGCACAAGTCGGCCAGCCGGTCAAGCGCAAGACGCGCGTTGAGACCATACAGGACATCATCCAGAATCAGTCCACGCCCGTGCCTGGCAAGATCACCCTTGTGCTTATGTCCGCTGCAGCCAATGCAAGAGCTACGTTCTTGCTCGATCGGCGCTTGAGACCTTTGAGAAGTGGCTGCAAGAACCATGTGTTGTCGGGCCGGTTGTTGCAGAAGATTGGCCGGGCCACCCGTCTCACCGGGTTGAACGGTGTGGCACCAAGGTCACCTGTACAAGATGCCACGGAAAGGCCAAAATCCTCGATGGAAAGATCGAGGTGCCGGAGCGGATGCGGCAGCGCTGCCAAATCCCTGGGTCACAAGACCTGCGCTCCTTTTTCGCATAGCAGCACCTTCTTGCACTCAGAAAAGGCGTGCCAAAAAAATAGCCCGCCCTCCAAAACAACACCTTGGCCGTGGATGCATTCATTGGAAACATGGATGTGTATGTGCGCAGATCTAACAGAAGCACCTATTGAAGGTAGTGTTTTGATGAGTGCCTTGAAGCTTGCGTTGCATTGGATTCATGGGTGTGTGTGTGTGCAGAGATGACAGTTGCACAACTTGAATGTGAGGTTTTCAGGGAGGTCTTGAGTTTGCATCTTGAATGTTGTACCAGAAGGTTGACAGGTTGTTTGTAGCCTTGAACCTTGATGTAGTGGTGACATCGTTTGCAGATAAGCAGGTGACCAACTGATGCAGATGAGTATTGGATTGTGGCCTGCATGTTCCTAGCACCAAACAGAAATGTGCTGATTTTCCCCGAAGTCATATGGTGCTGGCTCAGTTGATCAACTTTGCCATCGCGCACGAACAGACAGACAGACAGACAGAGAGAGGGAGAGAGGACTGTGCCAATCCACATGTCCCAGTTGCAATACCAGTGCTCGTACTGCGCAGACAAGAACAGAGTAGATTTAGCAGGGTGACAGATGAAAGCCCGGCAATTTGTGAGCCAAGGTGCTGCGAGTCCGTGTCAACGTCCATGGGGCTGAACGCATAATCAGACCCAAGGTTGCAGAGCCAGAGGAAAGCTGGAAATCCAGTTGGACACAGATGACCGTGAAGCCTAACCATATTACCTTGCCAAGACGCTCTGTGGAGGAGATCCTTGCGCTCTCAATTGCCCAGCCTTCGTCGTTTAACCTAATGCATGCAAACATGATGCACAGGTGACTAGTCACAGTTTGCTATTCAAACCTTGAGCTAGGGACGACTAGTGGCCCTTCGGCTTGGCCGCGGCACACGCACGAGGAATGAGAGGCATGGCTCGTGCAAGACAAGGACAAAAGAGAGCGCTTAAGAAGAAGGACTTCAGGTCAGGTTTTGCAAACGCGAACAACACCAAAAAACACAACTTTGAGGACACTTTTTGGTTTAGCCGGATGTTTTGAATCTTTTGTATTGAAAGCCAAAAACCAAATATGCTTGTTTTTTCAAAGGTATTTATGGTTACGAAGAAAAGTACCACGAAGAAGAGTACCAAAAACAAAACACACAATGTTCTTGTTTTTGGCTTTCAAAACCAAACAGTCTCCTCAAAGTCTTTAAATAAATAATGTGTTTGTTTCTTTTTTGGTTTGTTTGATTGTTGCTTTTTGTCATTGGGGGTATGTATGTTTTTTTGCATGTGTTTGCTTTTTGATTTGTTTTTGTTTTTCTGAATCGTGAAGTGCCTTTTTTTTGGGGTTAGATTTTTAAATACACAGGATAGTCTAAAACACTGCAAGTACCAGAAAATGCTATGAAAGGGTCGTTTATTATTTTGGGGGCGCGCCAAAAAGACACACATATATATAGTATAAAAACAAACACATCCAGTCCTCTGTCACATGAGCAAATATCACCTATACCAACTGTACCCTTTCTAAAGAAACAACAAACTGAAACTGGGCGGCCGTGTGTGCTGAGTCTGAGTATCTGATATTATCTGTGGCTCCCCGACAGAGCTTGGAAAACTCCAGTGCAAAGGCCTGTGATGGAGAAAAACACGCCGACCAGAAGGCCTAGGAGTGATTTGGGCAGCCCGAAGTGATCTCAAAATTCAGTTCCGACCAAGCGTGACCATGTGACACCTTTCATGACACATGCGTGACAACTAAAAATGAGAATTGGTTGTAAAAATTACCATTGAGTTGGTCCTGGGCTCTTAGAGCTGTTTGTTTCGACATACGAAAAAACGTCAAAGACGTCGAAGATCCACTTCTATACTCCTTTTTCATTCCCTTTTTTGTTTTCCAATTTAACTGTTTTTCATCCCTTTCTGGTCTCTGCTCCGGATCCTCTCGGGTCGCCACCAGTGCCGAGGCCTTTGAAGCATCCCACCACGCCCGCATCACGAGCGCCCTGGCGACATACTCACTTCTAACTTCGAACCCCGTCTCACCTCTAAGAAGCACAAAAAGAAAAACAAATATATATATATATATATTCCTGAGAAGGGAGGGGACGAAAGCCAGCCACCGTAAAAGATATCAATATAGTTATGGGGGGTGAATGCGAGGGCCCTGGTGAGCTCCCCACCTCTTTTCCTATCACCTCCTCCCCCGCTATGCCCATTTTCTACATGAACTCCCACTCCATATGGGGCCTTTCCGTCTGGTCAAGAGGCCTCTTAAGAGGGCACCCCCAAGCAACTCAAAGCTTGTCCGCTGCATTCTGTTCCCTCCCTGTTCTCAATGAATGGGTCACAGCGTTTCTCGCAATCCCTCTTTTGCTATCACGCCCTCCTCCACTATGCCTCTCTCGTCCGCATGAACTCCCACCCCATATGGGGTGCCCTTTTGAGTCCGGCAACTAGGTCTCTTCACCGTAACAAAGGGCACCCGCAAGCAATTCAAACCTTGCCCGCTGCATTTTGCTCTCTTTCCTGCCCTCAACGGACCACAGCACTACATGAACTCGCGCCCCATATGGGGTGCCCTTTTGCGTATAGTTGACAGGCGTCTTCACCAATAAAATTTATAAAGGCTCCCCCAAGCAACTCTAACATTTCTTGCAAACCTAACATTTCTTGCAAACCCTCTTTTCCTACCACGTCCTCCAACGCTATGCTTGTCTTCCACCCTCCCCACAGCATTCTGGTTCCTCACAGACCACACAATGTCTTAAGAGACACACACCTCCCTTTCACCCCTGGTCGAACACTATTTCACTGGCCATGAGAGGCGCACATCTCCCTTGTCTGGAGGAGTTCGAGCCACTTTTCGCATCCCGTTGTCACCTCTTTCCTATCATTGACATGAACTCCCACCCCTAGTAAAAACCTCGTGATCGTGATGATGCACTCTTCGCCGTCAATTACATCACCGGCAGCAGAACACCCCCAAAACTACTCATTTTTAACTACCTCCGGGCCACCTCATTGTTTCGCTCTCCCCCACCAGGCTCTGGGTCAGCCTCTCCAAGATTGGCCTGCTCGCAACCACCCCCACACCCCCTTTAACTCACTTCGTTCGCTCCCCTACCTCAAGCCTAGCCTATCGGCTGGTTTTCGTGATATATTTATTTTTGAAGGGGGGTTTGCGCTCGCACTATTCATTTGGTTCCTAGATGTTTAGGGAACTTGACTTAAAAAGCCACCAGTACAAATCAGACAAATCCCATCAAATCCCTCTATTCCCTGAATCGGTTCTTTGTGGGCTCGAAAACACGGAGCAACTTGAACTCGATCGAGGGTGTCAAGAACAGAATTCATCGCCGAAAAAAACAGACGTCGGACTCCGTCGGAATGGAACGGTGAGAAAGAGCCAGAGCCGGCAGTGCCAGCTACTGCCAAAAGGGTTTGCTCCGCTTTGACAGGGAGATGAGCTGGTGTTTGGTGTAAGTGTTTGCCTTTAACGGTTACACATTGACGGCGCCGGCCAGTCTTTGGTCCAATATGACGCACCTGAAGCACACTATCCCTTACCCTGTTCGCCGACACAAACATCAATTTGTTCAATCCAGAAATCCTTCGTACTGATCGATGGTTGACATGGATGAACAAAATTAGGATTGCTTTCTAAAGTTAAGTGTCTAAAAACCCGTGATGTTTCACGAATTCTTCCCGCCTCAATGGGCTGAGCAATGACACCGGCAAGGCCCACGAGGACTCCGCTCAGAACGCATTTGATGCCACTCCACAAACCGCCCTGAGAAAATGCGAGCACTAGGGGCTCCTGGCCTTACTACTAGTAACAAGAAGCTATTAGAAACAAATAAGTAAAAGTTGCCGTGAGTCGTGAGTCCAAAAAAAGAGAAACCGATCCTAACAACAAACGAGTAGGTTGGAGGCCATCGCTACTAGGGTGGAGGCCATTACTACTGCAACAAGAAACTACTAGTAACAAGTGCATTGCTACTAGTACTTAATGTTTCACTTTCAGACGCGTTTCACACATTCCGAGCACACTGTAGATTGAAAAACACTCTCGGCGATCCATGGTTCTCGGGTTGGTTCATGGAATTTTTAGATGTCTCCTTTTCAGTTCAAACACGTAGTCTCTTCAACATGTTTAAAGCACTTGGAGCAAGAAGCTACTAGGAGCTCCTGGCCTTACTACTAGGAGCAAGGACGCTACTAGGGGCTCCTGGCATCACTACTAGTAGTATTCTTACCAAGAGCAAGAAGCTACTTTAGTTTTCTCTCCGCCGATTCTATCCTGCCAGCTATCCTGCGTCCAAGGTAGTAGCTACTTAAGCTGCTAGCTACCTAGCGACCCACCCCCCCCGCGCGCGCCTCTACTAGCTACCACTAGCTACCTCTAGCTACTAGCTACCTCTTCCAGCTACCTAGCTACTAGCGGCCTACCACCCCCCGGGTTTTTATCAAAACAACTAGTAAGGCACTTGTTTCTACTTTTATCTCCGCCGATTCTCTCCCCACTTTTGGTGTCCCACCAAGACATCTCGGGGCGCTTCAACGGAGAAGATCGCAGGAAACGCGTCTTCTGCCTAGTCGTGTTGTGACTGCAAGGAAGTGACACTTTCTGTCAAGACTTCGCTTTTGAAACTGGATGTCACCATCTTTAGATACATACCGTTACATATCTGAACAAACCAAACAGGAAACATGATGAAACAGGCTGTGAAACAGGTGTGTTTCTCGGCACAAAGGAGCGGCAACCAAAGCGTGTTTTCTCGACACCGACTCCGAGGGGGGGCACGTCGCGGAGGACATCATCTGTACTTGCCTCGAGACAAAATGATGCATCTGATACCATTTTGTACAGTCTTTTTTTTCTGTTTCTTTCTTCTTTCTCCACTCTCTAAGACTTTGACGAACGACAAGTTTTGTGCCTCCGTCTGCAAAGCCACGGCCATCCGAGATGAAAACAGACTGTTTTGGCGTTAAAAGTCGAAGAAATGAAGCAGCGATGCACTTTGTTACTACTAGTCAGGCACTTGTTTCTGGTAGTAAGGCACTTGTTTCTACTAGCGTGGCACTTGTTACTAGTAGCTTCTTGTTACTACTAGTCAGGCACTTGTTTCTGGTAGTAAGGCACTTGTTCCTAGTAGCTAAGACTGTCCTGTTTTTGCGTCGAAAATGTTGTCACTTTTTGTCGACGCCTAACCGGGCCTAGCCGTCTTGCACAGTCTTGAACCACAACGAATGAAACGAGCACGAAGGAGTGATCGATCGTGACACGGCCGTTGGAAGAGGTATTTGAGGCATTCTATTTATCAATATGTCAGTGCAGCGGGAACTGTGTCTGAATTTGATGACGCGGGTTTACGGGTTTACCTTTGCTGGGCTTAGAGATGTTTACGATTTGCGGTGTGTAGTCGTTCTATCATGTCTTCGAAAGCGAAATCATGTGATGTTCTGGGAAGGCTGCCATCGAGAGGGCATCGTTTCTCATTTGTGTACAACAGTTTAGCTATATAAGTATCTCTGAGTTTCGTTTGTCTTTGTTATACTGCGTCATGGCCGACAACATGTGCGCAGCAAACATGGCGATGGCTTGCCCTGAGCACCACTTGGTTTGGCACCATGGTGATGCTGAAAATGCGGGTGTCCTTTTTGAACACTTTTCAGCACCAAAAAAATGTGTATTTTTTGTTCTGAAAATTGTTCAAAAAGGACAGCTTTGGGATGTTCGTGATGTCGGCTTTGTCCTTTGCATTTCTCACATCCCTTGAACGCATTCTTCCAGAAACAACCTTGAAAAAGGTTGTGCTTGACATTAACCTCTGTGAATCTCATCAATACTGGGTGGTAAACCCTATGCGGTCGCAATGTAGAACGCTCCCAAGTGACCTACCTCTCAAGTGATCTGCCGCTCTCAAGTAAACCGGTGTAAATCGGTGTAAATCGGTGTCGTCAAATACCAGACGCGCGTGATGCCGCAATGCAATATGTTCTCCTTGTTTTTACTACTAGGAGCAAGAAGCCCACACGTGACCATTCGACCTTGCGATCGAGCGAGGAAAGAGGCAAAATCGTGGGGAAACACCTTGTTGAGGAAAGGGGGACGCCTATCAGAAGGGCGGTGAGAAAGTCCTTCAGTGGGCTGCTCGCTGAACTGACCCCTAAACAAATGGTGAGCCCGGGTTTGCCTGCTTCGGCAGGCTGTCGGAAGAGTAAAAAGCGATTGCTGAAGGCAATTTGCAGTCAAAAGCCACATCCAGATCTTCCAAAAGGGTCTGGCGGAAGACATAGTTGTGTATCGGTCTTGAGACCTTGACAAAGGCTATGTTTCAGCTGCTTCACAACGCAGTTGAAGAAGCAACAGACTCGCCAGCTCAGCAAGCCTTTCGAGTGGAGGTTGATGAGATGAAATGATGCGCCGCATGCAATTGGTGTGGAAAGAAGGATCGGGCCCGTGAATGTCGATAAGGCACTTTGTTACTACTAGCGTGGCACTTGTTCCTAGTAGCTTCTTGTTTCTACTAGTAAGGCACTTTGTTACTTCTAGCGTGGCACTTGTTCCTAGTAGCTTCTTGTTTCTACTAGTAAGG